TCAGTGTAAGAACTACTATTTATTACACAGCCTCTTATTTTAGTCGCCTAATCCTAACGACCCTGTTCTTATCAATGGAGTCGATTTTTTTTTATTGTGTTTAATTTTTTAATTAATAAACTGTTCATTTTGAACTTTTTTGTATTTAGTTTTGAATAAGTATTCATACGTTAGAAAATATATTGTAATAATAATATAGTCCTAAATCGAATTCCGGAAGGAAAACAGGTCGTCCATACGACTTTTTTTATAAAGTTTTTAAATATTATATTGTTACAGAGTCCTGGCAACCCCCGACCGAGAGCCAGCGCTAAAACTATAAAAACGATCCCTCGCTGCGCCTTTGCCTCTTTTTTGTGCGTGGCGTTCGTGTGTGCGGTTCTTGTTGAAACATGTTTGGGACTTGTAATTTTAACAGTTTTCGTTAATAGTAAATTGAAATCATTTTGTTAGAAGTTTTGTTAATTCAGTGAAATATAATTAGGCCAGTTCTGTGTTATTTATTTCTTTTTGTTAAGTACCTCACTTCTGGTCGATAATATCAGAAGTGGGATAAAACCACGTGCTTTTGGAAAAGTGACGGGACGTCGATGTAGAAAATACAGGCGCGATCATTCTCATCGACGCTGTCATGACCGCTCGAATTCTAGATTTAGGAGTTTGTTGCATTAATCATCGTCGCGATCGTGTTGTGTGTAGGAAGAGCAAGATACCTACGCCGCAGGATGTCTCCTGGCATAGTTCCGTGGAACCGTTCTTTGGAACATAATTATACTCGTGAGATCGTGAGATTAATGACCACTTTACCGGTACCGTCTAATCGCAATACGCCGTCGCACTCTTGTACCGAACGCCACGCGCAGTTATTTTTGCCTCCAGCAGCAACGGTTTCCGTCGAAGGAGGTGACGCATGTGCACCTGAGTACCCTGGAACAGCGTCATGCAAATCGGCGGGTGTGTGTAGCAGTGCTGGTCAGCAGATGGACGGCGTGACGAACAGGATTATTGGAGCATTGCAGGTGCTATCTAAACTTTGACAATGGAGGCGCCTTCTGTCTGATTTGTTCACAGACGCAGGGCATTGTCGCCGACGTGTGAGGTCAGTAGCGAGTCGGCGCCGTGCTCCAGCAGGAGAGCGCAGAGCCGTGTAGACTGCACGTGTTGCTCGCGTGCCGCTACCTGCGCGCGCTCGCCTGCTTCAGACGTGCATACTGCGCGCACTGCTCGCGTGCCGCTGGCTGCGCGCGCTCATCTACTTCTGGCGCGCATACTGCGAGCACTGCTCGCGTACCGCTGACTGCACGCACTACCGCGTGCCGCTGGCTGCGCGCGCTTATCTACTTCTGGCGCGCATACTGCGCGCACTGCTCGCGTACCGCTGACTGCGCGTACTACTCGCGTGCCGATGGCTGCGCGCGCTTATCTACTTCTGGCGCGCATACTGCGCGCACTGCTCGTGTACCGCTGGCTGCGCGCACTGCTCGCGTGCCGCTGGCTGCGCGCGCTCATCTACTTCTGGCGCGCATACTGCGCGCACTGCTCGCGTACCGCTGGCTGCGCGCACTGCTCGCGTGCCGCTGGCTGCGCGCGCTCATCTAATTCTAGCGCCCATAATGCGCGCACTGCTCGCGTACCGCTGGCTGCGCGCACTGCTCGCGTGCCACTACCTGCGCGCGCTCGCCTGCTTCAGACGTGCATACTGCACGTGTTGCTCGCGTGCCGCTGCATGCGCGCGCTCACCTACTTCTAACGTGCATACTGCACGTGTTGCTCGCGTACCGCTGCATGCGCGCGCTCACCTACTTCTGACGTGCATACTGCACGTGTTGCTCGCATGCCGCCGACTGCACGGTGCTGTACGACTGGCAGTGACGCAGAGGGCGATGTCGCTTAGTCTGCGGCCTGCTGCTGCGGACTACCCAACGGATTATCTATCAGGACGGTCGAGCGGGACGCCCGCCACACGTGGTGCAGCCTCGCATCGTGGGAGCAGACTGGAGCTGGGACGGCTGCCCTGCTTCCATATCATCCTTACGAGTGTACCCCGGTGACATGCAGCCTTTTCTTCGAAATTAATATGTGAAGGTCGAGGTGGGCACTTCGGTGCTTTACTTCCCATTTTTGAGATTGAGGTGGGCACTTCGATGCTTTACTTCCCATTTTTGAGGTTGAGGTGGGCACGACGGTGCTTTACTTCCCGTTTATTTTTTTTGAGCAGTATGGTAGATGTGAATTCGGCCGGATCTTGAGTCCCTACTGTTTAGCTGTTTTGTGTCGGTAATGTTCAGTATCTGTATCGGTGAATATTGCCGACAACAGCACGCTACTGTTTTAGACGTTTCCTGTACGGGCTAACTCAGTAAAGGAATCGTGCAGGTGTCTCAAATTGCGCAGTTTGGGACAGTTGTGCGATATCCATTCTTCTCACTTCAAATGTTATCTTTGGCTCGTCCTCGCTGCAGATGTAAGAGTGCACGCTTGCGTCTGTAGTAGGGATTCTAAATTTTAGAAAGTTTTAGAGCATTAAGGTCTGGGTGTAATTTTTTTGTTACGTTACAGAGGGTGACCTTGTTGATGCAAGCTCTGACGTAGCTGGAAGAGATATGCTTCTGCTGACAGATGAAGCGGTCGAGGATGCCTCGCCATCAGGAACGGCCGTGTTACAGAGTCCCGGCAACCCCCGACCGAGAGCCAGCGCTAAAACTATAAAAACGATCCCTCGCTGCGCCTTTGCCTCTTTTTTGTGCGTGGCGTTCGTGTGTGCGGTTCTTGTTGAAACATGTTTGGGACTTTTGTAATTTTAACAGTTTTCGTTAATAGTAAATTGAAATCATTTTGTTCGAAGTTTTGTTAATTCAGTGAAATATAATTAGGCCAGTTCTGTGTTATTTATTTATTTTTGTTAACTACCTCACTTCTGGTCGATAATAATATTATTATATCGATTACTTAGGGGACAATTTATGGCTTCGCGACATACTGCATACTAATGAGAGAAGTGTCACTCTGGTCCAATACGTCGCATTGAAAACTTAAAAAAATCATTTCTATCAGCAGTCTTCATGACTGCCTAGTTTTTCGTTTTATTTAGAAAATAACAAGGAACTTCGGTCGTAAAATTTGAATGGTTATTGTACACTGCTTTGTATTAACAGCTTTAAACAATGCGCGTAAGGTTGAATTTGCAAAAGATATGTTTATAGTATAACTATAACTGCGTAGATATAATTGGTGTGTTTCGGGACAGTTTCGAGTGCTACTTTTGTATGAGACTGTGCATCTTGTTTTTATATATCAATGCTCAGCGGGCTTAACCCGCGATACCCTACGAATGAACCCGGCAACGAGGGCCGAAAACATAACCGATAGTTGGACCTTGTTCGACTGGCTAGTGACCCTCCAACTAGGAGTCCCCGCCAAATAGCCAAGCTGTATTCCGGTGCTTGGCTTGAAGAGCCAGTTCTATTCCTTCCCTTTCCTCTTTAACGGGGGTATAGGGAAATCTAGTGAAACGGTCACTGCTGGCACTCGCCGGTAAATAGGGGATCTAAGTACGGTGGTCCCTGCTAAAATGTGTAAGATCCTGTCGTGCGGTAATCCGTATACATACTGCCATACCACTTTCTCGTCCTGGTCGTCGGACGACGATCGGGTATCTTAGGTTTTGCAGTATAAGTTAGCAGATTGCGATTCATGAATTTTACGTATCGCACCCATGGCGGCTCTGCTTTTCTTCTGCTGATCCAGACGTCGCTACGGACCGACTGAAAGACGCTTCAGGGATTCATGGATTAGAATTGTTTGTTCCTTTTTCTGAGCTGTCCCTATAATAATGCTAGTAGGGATGCTGTATGCCTCAAGCCATTCACATACACGGCATGGAAAGAGTCCAGAAAACGAAGTTGTGTTCGAGGTGTGAACAGGTGTGAACGGGTGTTCCGTCTCTTGAGAAATGATCAAAACTTTTGTCAGAAGCGGAAAAACTCTGGAGCGAGATTCCGAGCTGAAGATATGTCCTCCTTTGTAGTGAACGCGCAAACCCATAGATTTCACCTACCTTATTGTTATAGTGCCGCAAAGAATTTCTCTGCAACCTTCCTCGAGTACTGTCGAGTATTGTATACTTGGGAACAAACAAAAAAATATCGGAGTCATCGGGAGTGCAAAGCCAAGTTGGCGTAACAAATGCTGGGATTCCTCAACAGAGCGTATACTTCCCGCCTGAACAAATACTTATGCTTCACAAAGTACAGGCCTCCCTTAAAGTACTGCTCCACCTCTGTGCTGGGGCTCCCAAATGCAAAAAAGGCCGTCCGGGTTGTCAACAATCCCTTTCTCACGGATCGTATGGCACCTCTGGATCTGCAGAGAGACTTCGATTCTCTCTGTATTTTGTACTGCAATTTCCATAGGGAGTGGTCTGTGGAATTGTTTGGAATGATCACATCATCCCGTTTTTACCATCGCACCGACCGCCATCGGAGCAGAATTCATCCATATTATTACTTACAATCATTGCATTCATCCACAGCACCTTTTCAGATAGCTTTTCTCGCCACGTACCATCTAGCTTTGAAATGAATTCTCCTCCACGGTGTTTCCCGAGTGCTAGGACATGTCCTTTTTCAAACGAGGCTTGCAGTGAGTCTTAGCTAAAAATAGCGGTTTGTTTCTGCCTCTAGCATTGCTGGCGTCCATAAGCGGCGGTAACCACTCAATATCTGGTAAGGTCTATGTTCGCCTGCATAAAACAGAAATAAAAAGTTAAAGTGAAAAAGATAAAATACGAGATCGCCCTAACTGCAAGGTAACACAGCGTGTATCGAGTATTGTAATTAAATATTCAACAACTAAAGTGAAATAAAACATATTTAATAAATAAAAGCGATTATAAATATAATTTTTATTAATTTATCATTATGTTTAACACGGATAACTTTATATTTACGCATTGTACAATGATACTAATTTATACAACATACAATATTTACTTCATTATTTTATTTAGAAAAAAACAGTTTCAAAGTAAATTCAGGTTCTTATCAAAATACCTCCTTCTCGTATAATTCTAAATAGTCCGTAGTATTTTTATATTCTTTTAAATGTGTTCGTAATGTTTATTTTATGGAAGTGAAATAAAATCTACTCTGCCAAACGTTTTCAATAGGCAGTATTAAGACACATATAAATTGACTTAGACAAAATTTAAATTATATTTAAATACAATAACATTCACGTTTAATTGTATTTACATATTCTAAATTATTCATGTACATTTGGATATATGCGTACGCTATGGAATAATCGGTCCTTGAACGAATTAACTAAACAATCAAGTAAGGCTAAGTAGGTCCACCGCAGAATCAAGAAGATTTTCGGAGCCAAAAATTATCTCATCGTCTCCATTTTTTCAGTCACGCTACCGAACGAAAACTTATCAAATATAATGTAAAAAGGCATTATGTATCGTATAAGCTCGGCACAATTATTATCGATCCAAGATTTGTCTGCCTCAATACAATATTTGTTTTACATAATACGAAAATTTGAGCACCACTGTCGAGATTACGTTGATAAATTGCCACCAAAATTATTACATATTGAAACTATTATAATTGGGTACGCTGTACATGGTCTAAAATACGATTCAATTTATTTTTAAGCAGAAAGATAACCTCAAGGTTATATGGTTACCGGAACTCTTAAATTTCATGGCGTGATCGACGCTACCTCGGGACGAGAGATCGAAGTCCCCCATTAGAAGGCAGTCTTTTAGAGCATAATACTGCCCCCATCGCCGTGTATCATAGTGATAACTAGATACTAGAGACACAGAGTGTAAAGATAGGAATTAGTACTCAATGTGTGTGGAAAGCGCATAACTTTATTTTTACTGAATCGTAAGGATGAGTCACACATGATATATATATTTTTTAAATTTTATGATACAGCAAGGAACGAAAGAATTCAAGAGCGTCAGTTTAGAAATTTCTCTTTTCGTGCTGTTGAACATAAATTATACTGGCGGAATATAGCAAACAGAAAAGTGTTTCAGAGATATCCCGTACCAAGCAGAACGATGCAAACATAAGGATGACGCTAATATGGTAGCATATAAAAAAAACGTTATTTTTACACTTAATTCAAAACTAACTAACTTAACTAATTCTAATGGATTTTACGTATTAATAACATATATTTAGTTTAAATGAAATGGAATGTAATATTTTCGAAATCTATTTCTACTGCACATGAATAAACATAACTCTGATAATATTGGACATCAAAATCGTAGGTGAGTCTAAAGCTTACTATTTCAATGATCCATAACAAGATCTGATGGAAATAGGTAAACACTAACTGGTCACTCTAGAAAATATTTTTTATCTTATGGATAGCTGATAAAACTATACATATTAAGAAAAACAATAAAATTACTATCCTGACTTCATTTCGTTCTTTACATTAGCCTGAACTTAGAACTTAAGTTATATATTTATTTAAATAATCCACTTGCATCCTGCCATAAGCTAAGGTCCACGGCGGGTAAGTCATCGCAGGATACTACTTGATTCCTGAAAAAAAAAAAGAACTCTATAATTTAAAGACTCGATTCGTAAGAAGAAGAATTTTTAATACAAAAATGAGTATGTAGTAGAGTAGCATCTACGAAGAAGATTTACAAGTTAACCCATTTGATTAATTATGTGTAATTTGTAATGAAATTAATGATAAAATATAAAGTTGTCGTGGCTTAAAGCATTTACGTAAGTGTACTCGTATCGATTGATGCAAGTCTGTCAGAGTTCAAATCTCGCACAAAAAGTACCAACTTTTCTAAGAAAATATTTATATTAATTCATGTTCACAAATGACCTCGATGATGGAATAATACCATGAAATTATAATAAAAGCCTCCGAAAACATAATTATCATAATTACTGATGTTAGGGCGCATTGTACATATTAACATACCCGTGTGTGCTCCAAATCTCCATTCTGCCTATTTCTGCCACAAATCAGTTAAAGTTTCCAGTTTGAAAGGTAGGACTGCTGTTACGGTTACAATTTGGTGATGTGTGCTTCAAAAACCCTTAATATCAGATGGGTCGTGAGCTATTTCACTCATTCGCCCTACCACCAATAATTACACAAAATATATTTTGAGACTTTTTAATACAACTCGCGCAATTTATTCGCTAATACTTGTTGGGTTCCTTAGAAAAAAATGTTAATTTTATCGGCTATCCAATATTTATATTTTACTTACCCGGGCGATATCTGCTGGAAAGCCCTCGGTTGCATTGAATTGATTCCGTCAGCGTTGTCGCAGAGCAAGCGTGCCATCGATGCACCGCTTCGTATTGTTTCTAATTGACCTATATTTAATGACGATAATGTTGATTGAATTTAAAACAAACAAACAAATCTTATTACTGTCTGGTACTTTAAAATAATTGTTGAGAACTGGATTACGAAATTTAAGTTTAAAGATTGATTAATGATGGATGTAATTCTATTATATGCGAAAGAGATAGAAGAAATTATATGTGAGATAACACATAGTAAATAAAAAAGATGTGTGGTGTCGTGGGACACCGGATAGGAACGAAGTTCCTTATTATAAAAATATTAATTTTAATTTCTATTCGAAGTATAAAGAAATTAAAACTGGTGGTTTCGCAACTACGCACGGTCATTCGGTAACGTGCGAACTTATTGTGGTACACTTGATTCACTTGGTTGTTTGCATAAGAACTAGTATAGGTATTGCGCAAACGAACGCTCTGAGATCGTGGTCAATGAATGATAAAAAATATGTTATTTTTGTACGTTATTACAAGGTTAAGTCGTACACTGTGTGCATTACTAATAAAAATCTTACGTTACGGACGTTTTTTTCCGGTTAGGGTACCCCTCCGCATCGTCCTATAAGGAACTTCGTTCCAAAAAGTTGAATAAAAATACGATTTTTTTTTGAAGCTCACTGGGAGTAAAAGCAGTATCACGGTCGGCACCGTTTTCGAAGAAGTATCTATCTCCGACCCTTGTTCTGTAAAATTGCTCGGTGAGGATGCAGAGGAATGTTGGTCCAGCCTGTGCTCCGGGTACATTCCGCTCCAAAGACCCACCCACAACCAGATCAACGTCCTCAGAGGACTCGTACAGACCTCGAAGGATTTTTACATTCTGAAAAAAATAGTACAATATACGACGGTGGATGGTGAAACGAACCGCTTAGCAGAGTGCAAAGCACAATTTCTTGTGTCATTATGTTCTCATGAGTTCTTATGCATGTGACATTATATAAAACGCTATATATTTTTCTAGAAAATAACAATTATAATACAAGAGAATCTGTATTATGATTTGACAGACGCCCAACGGAGAGGTGCCAAACTCATAACTATTTCTGCCGTGAAATAATCATGAGGTCCGGCTTAAGAAGGAGAAAAGTCGTTTTACAATAAAATCAAGACTTACGGTATGTGGCAAGAGTCAGTTTGTGATACCTATGGGTTCCAATGAGCATGAGGATGCTAAACTAGTATACCAATATATACAATTATACAAATAAATAAATTATGGAAAGTTGTTAACGATCCAGTATTTTTATCGAAAATTAAAAATCATGAATTGTTTTCGGCACTATTAGCTTCTTCTTCTTGCTTAGATTTCCTCAAGACTGAGGGTCGTGACCACCTCCTCGCCACAAGAGTTTATTACGGACCATTCCACGCCATTTGCCTTTATCTGCCGCCGAGTGTAGCTTAAAAAACAGTAAGTAAATTAAACATTTGTAAGATTTCAGTATGCTATAACAACCTCCGTTGACATAAAATCTTGCATGTCCCGGAAACTTTTTGGCACTGGCAGGCCGCAGGCTGCACGAGTCACCGCGTAAGTACCTAGCCCGTGATCTCGACCGCGTTGGATGTCTGTAGCTCGTAAATCGCCGCCAAATGTATTATTGCGCCTATAAGGAAAAGGGATATCAATAAAAAAGTAGCAGCCAGATTAGATCAGAAAAGGATTATTAGTGTCAAAAATCCACACGCTAATTCAGTCAAGAACTTAGAATATTAAGTTAGAATATTAAGCTGAAACAGAAAAAAATACTAAAATACACCCCAACCTATCTAGCCTTCAAACTTATAATATTACTTGATAAAATAGTAACTCATATTAATATAATATATAATAAATAGATATAATGTGTGGCCTCGCTCATAATGTTTTTTTTTTCGTCTGTATTATAGGATATATAAATGTTTTTCTTTCTTTTTTTTTCGTTATGGAATAGTGCTTTTAGATTTGATAAAAAATCGTCGAGGGTTCGCGTTCAAGTTGGATTGCGGTTACGATGACAATGTATCAGCAAATATTTATCAGAATTTTTGAACCCAATACGTTCGTTCAAGACGCTTTATGATAGACTCTAAAATCATATCAAAAACTAGCTGCGCCCGTCCGCTTCGCTAGGCATTTCAAATTAACATTATTATTTCTCACCCCCACGAAGATTCTAATCATTAACGCCCCCGCAACTGGTGTAGGGAGTTCAACACTCATATAAATATTAGCCTATCCATTAAATACATGTATTTTCTACATGGATACCAAGTTTCAACTCAATCGAATGCATGGTTCAGTAGTTATTACGGAACATCCGTAAAACCACTGTAGATTTATATTATATTAGTACAGATTACATTGGAACGAATACAGACTAGACCAACAAGACTCACTACATCTTTGGGTGTTACTACAAATGAGGTAGGACGTCTTTTGAGTCCGCACGGGTACCACCACCATGCCTATTTCTGTCGTGAAGCAGTAATGCAGTAATGCAGTAATGCGTTTCAATTTGAAGAGTGGCGCAGCCGTCGTTCCGTTACAATTGAGACCTTAGAACTCTGGTCTCAATGTAGGTAGCGGTATTTACGTTTTAGATGTCTATGAACTCCGGTAAACACTTAACACCAGGTGGGCCCGTCCACCTATCTAAACAATTAATAAAAAAAGGAAGACCTGACCTGCAGATTTTGCATGGAATAAGTAGGAACTATGTATCACATACCTTTTTACTATTTACGACCGCAAAAGAAATGAACGTAGGCGACAGCTATTCAAATCAAGATATTTATAGCAAGTCAACAGTCTCACAAAATACACGAAAATCATGTTTGTAGAAGAGTATTATTATCCGTCAAGCACGACAGAATAAATGCTAATAAACAAAGAAGAATACGATAAGATCAAATAATGAATTGTACCTCCCACTATATTTTTGAGATAGTCAAAACACCAACAAAACAATTCTCCAATTTGTAATAAGATCGCTAGAGTACACATTTCACTGAGATATTCTCGGTAGAGGTTTCAACTTGGAACGTATTAAAAGAAATCGAAAAAAAAATGGACTTTATCTGATAAATTCTGATAAAATTAGCTTCTTTAGTGTTCTAAGAATGGCAGAACTAAAACTAAACAAAGATACAATGATAATAAAAGTTAACAATAACACACATGCTACTTGAATGGAGAAATATGTCAGTCCTATGGATTTATTTACAACAAAGAGATATACTTGAAACTTAGTTAATTAAATTCGAATGAATAGTAGTAATCAATAGGGTGTTAGTACGTAAGTAGCTTGCATTATAGGTACATTATCGATACAACTACTGGGGGTAGGACCTCTTGTGAGTCCGCGCGGGTAGGTACCACCGCCCTGCCTGTTTCTGCCATGAAGCAGTAATGCGTTATAACGTGTCTGTGTCTAAAGGTGTCCCTGGTATGCTGATGTTACATGAGGCCCAGTCGCGTCACTCCCCAAAAGGTGGTCTATGGGTCGAGAGACACGGGACCGAGTCGCACCACTTCTAGACACGTCACCACCGGTAGACAACCGGTGAACAGGAGACTCTGTGAGGAGGATCTCAGGGCACCACCACTTACCGCTCTGGGAGATTTACACCAATAATTGAAAACAATTACAATATAACAAAGTTGTGTTTATTCTATGTAAATAACACGGATACAATTGTTATAATAGTTTACAAAGATTACATTAATGGTCAGGTAGGTATACCGAACATACGAGAAAGTTATCAACGAAAATTAGTTTAGAATTAAATAACTAGAAACAATGACGGTTTCACAAATTTAACAAAAAGACGATGAAGGGTTCACCGGATTGCTTCCCAGCAACTGGGGTTGCTGGATCCGAGCAACGCTGTGTATGCAGGTGTGTTCTTGGTCTACCGTAGTCAAGTACTCTTTCTTGGAACGCCTAGCCAGAGCACCTCGCTTCCGGTTTGAAGGGTGGGGCAGCCATTGTAACTATACTTGAGACCTTAGAACTCATATCTCAAGGTGGGTGGCGCATTTACGTCTTAGATGTCTATGGGCTCCATTAACCACTTAACACACACCAGGTGGGCTGTGAGCTCGTCCACCCAGCTAAGTGATAAAAAAAAACCTACGAACAGAAGTTGGTTAAGAAACTCACTTAAACATGAACTGTGTAATTTCCGTGTCCCAAAATTGATCGCTGAAGTCTTGTTCCTGAACAGTAAGGCCTCTTGCCAAGTTGTTGAAGGAGTCGTTGATTTCCAATAGCAAGGGTCTGTTGAACCAGTCGCTCATACGAACCGCCCCGACAAGTGCACGACGTTCCGATATTAACCTGTCAATTTAATTTTCCTTTATTTATTTTATTATGGTTTAATTAAAACTTATATCTCAAGGTGGGTGGCGCATTTACGTTGTGGATATCTATGGGCTCCAGTAACCACTTAACATCAGGTGGACTGTGATCTCGTCCACCCATCTAAGCAATAAAAAAAAAAAAAAAACTGAGATAATTTTTTTCACGATCACTATTTTTATATAGGCATAGCTCTAGTGAAATGACTTTACAGGCCATGTGGTGGTTTTTTTTTCCCTACCGAAGCTGATAGTCTTGAGAGACCACTTCAGCTTAACCTTAACTAGTAGGTGAGCTCACGGGGCTCAAAGCTGACGGCGAGGCTACCACCGGATCGGAAACGCGTGGTGGTGTCTTTATTGGTTCTATAAGGGCATCGACAACCGAAGATATAAGGAAACCTCAGTAGACTTTGTATGATATGATAACTTTTTATTTGGAAACCAAAATTATCCGCTGCTCGAGTAGTATATACGTGCTATAAATAATAAATAAAGATACATATTATGCTAGTTCACAATAGACCTTATCCAATACGAATTATCATAAGTTGGAAAGTTAATTGGATACTTGCTATATGATAAGCTCTATAAATAGAATCGAAAATTCAAAAAAATTTTAACCTTAAATTATACATATTTCATTAGAAAAATTTGTACCAGCCAGCTGGAATTGAACATAGAACAGTTGCATGATAAATTATAGCACTCAACGATAGGTAAAATAAATTTGAATTTTTTAACCTTCGATCTAAGTAGTAAATTATCTTTCAATTCTTCTGAATTTACGAATTCGTTCCAATTCAAGCCTAACATTTAGATTACAATGAATACTATGGAGAAAATTATATGAATAAAAATTAAACAGGTCTAACGGTATTCATTACTCTTAAATTGTTTTTGCGATAGCGTTTACTTCTTTTAAATGTTAATTCTTTATAATATTATATGAATATATTTATTTTTGAGTATTCTTCAGCTTTTTTAATAGGTGATATTCATTACATATCTCTTGACTGTATAATGACAAAAATAACTGGAATACTATATTATCTTACAAGAAAATGATGCGAATAATTTGTCAAAAACAAAAAAAAAAAACAAAGATCCTAGTTGTAAATAAGGAATAATTAAAGTTATCTTAATTTCAAGGTAAAGTAAGAATTACATTACGCTTAAAAAATATATATTTTTATATGTGTATGATACTTATTTTAAATAAGAATTTTTGTATATTTTTTAAGCATTCACGCAAAAATGGCTCAAGGGATTTCCAAAAGCTTTTGTTCAAATATATGTGAAAGGGTTTTTCATTATTTTTTTCTCCTACCGTCGCCGAAAGTTTGGCTTTCGTCCCGCTGTACAGGGAAGAAAGTCTAACTTTTTCTCCCTGAGTACTGACAAGTGCGCATGCGCGTTAGTGTCTACGTCTGCTCTCACGCACCTAAAATTGTTATGCTCGGGTAATTTGCAATATTGTGTTTAGTGTAAAAGTGAAATAAACAAAAGGCAATAAAATTTAATAGTGAAGTATGAAATAAAGTTGTTATTCATTTAGTAGTAGTTTATTTAAAAATTTAAAAACAGTTAAATTGTTTTTTTATGAGTGGGGATCCGTCCCCCCCCCGTCCCCCCCCCAGGGCTTCGCCCCTGGACCCCGGCTCGGTGCTCCACGGGTGCTAAGTTTTTAACAATGTCGAGCTTCCGGCCTGGTAGGAGAAAAATAGTATGTGCACCGCGGGGAAAAAAGTAGGACATCTCATCCCGCGTACTTGCGGGATGAGAATTTTACACGCGGGAGAAAATGTCACTTTTGTACTTAACGCTTATTTACGAACGATTAAGGAAACCACGATTAAGAAATTACATCATACAATAAAAATCAACCAATTGAGAATTAAACCTCATGTCTCAAGGTAGACGAGAGCTTTCTGTTGTGATTCTCTAGACTCCACTACTTAACAGCGGATGGGCAATTTTTTTTTAATAGTAAAGTAAGATAATTTATTCAAACCTTGCAAGCAAAGTAAGCTCCACAGACAATCACGTTCGAATCTTTCTAAGGCTTTATTTTCCTTTGTTCCGATAACAAACAGATTTACAGTTTCACTTCGAGCTTATTGAACGTGAATCATAAAATCAGACAGTAAAATCTAGTCTTTATATAGTCTCATCCTATTCAAGCGCAGGAAAAGCTCAACAAAATTACCTACAGCGAAAGACGTGGCAAAGTTTGTAATAGTGGGGATTGCTCAAGTCTCTAGGACTTTTTGCAACTTCATATCCAGTTCAGCTACTACTTGTAAAATTTTGTTTCTGAATTTTCTCTGGATAACAAAATGTAATATTTTCATGCAGCAAATCTACTTTGTAGACTTGTAGCTGTATTTTTGTTTTTTTTTTTCTCTACTACAAAAAAACTAATCTATCTAAAAGCTTGTATTGTCATCACGAAAATAGTATTTAATGCTTGTTTAGTTTTATTTACATTATCGTAATTAGAAGTAGACCATAGTCCTAGAACCTACTTAGATTTATTTATTCGGAATTTTACTTGACAAAGCTATGAGCTACTTTAATGATTATCAATAGAATCTAGCTATCATAAATAAATGCACATAATACTTTTAATACACTAATGGGTATAACTTGTTAATTAAACTAAAATGCCAACATAATAATATATAAGAATACATAAAACCAGTTTTCAGATCATTGTATTGGTGAACAAGGTATATTGAGTATCGTACTAGTTCAAATTGTACTTACTTTAAATAACCTCGGATCAACGTATGGAAATGTCTGAAAGCGGCAGTAGCGTGCTCATCTAAGATCGTGGGATCAACGTTTGGATTATAATCGTTTACATAACCATGTGCTCCGGGGTAGATTAACTTGTTTTTCACCATGTTTTCGAAACCTGTGAAAATTCTCCTGTTATAAAACTATATTTTTTTTATTTAATAACCAGAATATGAAAGAATTCAAAGCCTATATGATATTAGAGGTTACAAAAAGAATTATAAAAACGTGATTTTCTTGAGTGAGACATAAGATTGTAGTCCCAATTGAATGATACAACAGTTATCCCACTGTTCAAACCGAAAAACTTGTTTCAAGAGAGAAATGAGTAGACCCTGTAGGGGCTTACAATACGCCAATAATTAGGCAAATTAGATACATATATTTCCACTTAAATTTTTATCACACAATGTTCTTGTTTCATCGCACACTTCGTTCATAAGCCCGTGTTCGGTAATTTAAAATAATAACTGAATTTTTTCAAAGTGGAGAGCTTTAAGTGGATCATTAAGAGCTCGCAATTCAAACATCGCTAAACAATCCAACTGAGGCCTCCGTTATCTGTGGTGCTTTCTGTTTCACTATTTGTTCGTGCATACCAAGGAAAATAGGAAGGTATTCGTAGTAATTGATGTGCTGTATTTCGGCAATATGTATTCGTCTTGCTTCCTGGAACAGGGTCTCGTCGTCCCAATGAGGATTGAGTCGACTAAGCGTGTCGGCGATGCGGTTATGTTCGCGAAGAAGAATTATCTGCAGCACCGTCAGTTGAGGATTCTGATTCACTCTGATGTCACCTGAGAATATATTTTTTAGTTAAATTATGACTCAGAATGTTGTTCAGTAACTGAATAATGATTCCAGTTGGATATTGGTATTTGTTCATTACTTCTTGGTAAGACTCGTGAAGGCTCCAAGTGTTGGACATCATATCTCAAGATGGATGTCGCCATTCAAGTTGTGATATTTACAGACCCCGGTAAACATCACGTAAACCACGAGATCATTTAATAATATACATAATTAAAAAACTAGAATTTTGAATACCAGACTTTTAATTTTCCGTAAAAGTTAATTTAATAAAATATAAATTATATAAAAAAACCAGCCTAAGTCGTTGGTTATCGAGCAAATTGCCGTTTAAGCATATAAAATTTTATTCACTATACTTACCGGCTAAGTAACAAGGTTCATTGGGTGATTTTGCAGACTCGCAAGTTAACGTGACATTGGGATCCTGGGGAGGCCATTCTTGACCCTTCCTCAGAATGGTTAGCAATCTTCCACCAGCTCCTGCTCTAATGGGATTTGCTTGACCGGCACTGCTTCCGTAGACCAAAGAAAGATCCATGTAAGCAGTCACAGTCGTTAACTGGAAGTAAATCCATAAAAATGTCGGCCAGATGTCGGATAAATAAAACAATGAAAATCCCACAGAATCCAATTATACACTGTGTATACATACAATGATTGATAACGTGTATTTATATTTTATTATGAAAGTGCTATAATATGTAACGTTTATATCAATAAACCTCTATTATCTTCAAGATCGATCTTAAGTACGGTAACGAAATGGTCCACTTATTGATAAATTTAAGTTTGGGTTTAGATTCTGTGGGCTGTTTAATGAACTTACTATTTACAAAAAACAGAGATTTAAGTCTTTCTAAGACTTAAAATTCCCAAACTGAAACTCTACACGAAAACTGAGCGAAAAAATCACTCATCAATAAACGTTGATATTTTCATTTTAAATTTAGAGATAGATCGAACTGTTCTTCTGTTTAATAACAACAATGTATTATAAGACCAAAATTATTTCTAACACATAATAAAATGAATTAAAGCTGATTGTTATATAATTGTAACCTTTTATGAAAATGTTAACGAAACACACCTTAGGGACTATAATATTTTGTTACAGTTTATTAAAAATAATAATGAAAGGTTGGGTTGAAATTTTGTATTTAAATTATGTTAATGTCTGCTTTTTGATATAATTTAAAAGTAATGATAAATCACAAGTTATTTGGTATTACGAAACGAGGTGCCGTAAATGCTTTGATGTCCATCTATTTTCACACATCTCAACTGCCTACTACTAATCTATTGAACCCATTTTATGCATGATAAAATTTCTTCAAATTAAACTATGAGAAATAGCAAATAGCTCTTTAACCAGCAACTTTTGTGTTTCCAGGAACGCAAAAGATATGTCGGACACGAGTCGACTGGGTTACTCGATTATTTTTGTATAGACAAGCATCGATGGCTCAGCTACTGTTAAGAGCCAGTACGTTAAATCAGATACAACATAATTATAATTTAAACTAACATGGTCACGAACATAACAATTATTACTAAAAATATTGGGAACTCATTTCGTATAATAGACTGGTAAATATCCCGTTTTAAGTAGTAATTGCTATGTTTGTAACATCTCTCTATTAAACAATGACATTACTCATTTAGACATTTGACACTAAACTATAAAGTTGCATATTAATGGATATGAAATGGATATAGTAAAGGTCTATGGAAATTATCACTCATTTAATATTATCATTGATTGACAGTTCAGATGTCATCGTATTCCGATAAAAATCCGAGTTTTCGCGAAGGAAAATAATTTTTCACTAGGTACATCAGCTGTATTCAATGCAACATCTGCAAGTGATTCCAAACTTTTGCTCACTAGTGTATATTCTTCGATTTCCGCGTTTAGACAATTAAAAGTACTTTAATGTTTTAATTTCGTATTTTTTATTGTCATTATATTAGTTCCAACGTTACGTATACTTGACAGTTTTCGTGGTCACGGAAGACGAAGATGTTATTCGAATATTGATTGATGACATTTGAATATTGTGCTAACTACCGTCTATTTCTCTATAAAAATTATTTCCCGACTTTTACGTTTCATTTCACAGAGAACCAATATAGTATCTTGAGATCTGCCAGTTTCTTTTATTTTGGTTTTCATCTTCCCCATATATGTATAACCCCCCATATATAATAATAAGTGGATCCCGGATGTTAAGTAATCTAGACTTTATATAATATAAACGACAATAAAAATCGCGAGATTAAACAGTAAAAGTAATTTTAATTCTCCGAGTCAGGCTTGGATCACATACATATTAAATTAGTTAAGTTATTTGTCAAACGTCTAACTTTCATTAGCAAACAGTTATATTCGAAATATTCCTTTTCCTTATCGAAATGTTTCACTGAAATCTATTTTAAGACTTTATTTCATAGGATCATTTCTATAGTAAGCTCTTACCGAGAATTTCACACTACGTGAATGGCCACAACAAACTTATTAGGTGACCTTGAGCTAACATTATTACAGACAAAATTCTTATTATTTGAATCAGATATAACTTTACGTCGATCTTTCAATTAGTATTCAATGGTCAACTCTTCTTAAATTTGCAATATTACTAGTGGAAAGCCCCCCAAGTGTTGTGAGATCGCACGGGTTATTACCATCATCCGGTCTGTTGCCGCGTAGCAACAATGCGTTGCGGTGTGTGGGCTGGGGTGGTATGGCGATTATAATATACTCGTAACACCGCGTAAGCCGTGAGCTAAATACCGTGCCTATGTCTAAATAAAACACACTTCTGAAATAGTCTGACAATAATTTATACTATCTACTTAAAGATCAAAATAAAACTCGAAAATGAAACACAATCTAAAAAATCTAAGAAAAAGAAACTAAAAGACAAGGACGCCTTACTTTTAGACGTCAATTTACCGGCATTAAATCTATTTAAGTATACTAATATTATAAAGAGGAAAGATTTGTTTGTTTGTTTGTATTGAATAGGCTCTGAAACTACTGAACCGATTTGAAAAATTATTTCACTGTTTGAAAGCTACACTATTCCCGAGTGACATAGGCTATAATCTTTTTTGAAAAAATTAGGAATCCTTACTAAAACTCCAATAATGTAACCCAAGGTGTAAAAAAATTACCTAAAATATTCTTTACATCTCGTGCCCTGCGAAAACTATTGATGATAGAATAAAATAATGTACTACGACTTTGTAGAACACATTATTATTTCCAAAAAGTGTCGACAGCATATTATGTCTAACTATTATAGTTACGCTACAATAAAATACTTCTTTTATTTAAAAAAATAAAACAACGTCAAATATCGTTGAAATTTTTGTTAAAGACCCGAGCGGAGCCGGAGCCGTCCGCTAGTAACAAATATTTTTACTTACCGGTTCAGCAGGTGCATTCGGAGGTGTACAACCTCTGTCCCTAGTTGAAGTGGTCCTCACAAAGTTCATACATTGAGTACCTTGGGGGGAATGTACAGGATCGTTCGGTGGTACCAATATAGGAGCGCAGAATGGGTTGGTTGTAGCATCCAATGCGAGAAGACCATTATTATCGCAGCACGTAATCCTATCAGCATCTAAAGACCATACAAATGAATTATAAAATATCACATTTATTCCTTTAACAAAACAATAACTAGTCTTTCATTGACGTGACAAACGTCAAATAATATTTTGCTCTTAACTAAAATGGGAAAATATATTAATACGCTTTCCTTAGCTTCAGACGTATGTATGTAGGTATGTTTGTAACGGAATCTTTGAACATGATTTTGACCCCCTTCAAAACGTCGGATTAACTCGAAATTTTGTATACTTATTAAGGACCGATGACAATTCAATATTTAAAAAAATATTTAAAAAATTGAAATTCAACTAAAAATGAAAAAATAAATAATAGTTTAAAAAAACTAACAAAATACGCTTTTGATAATATCCTGAAAAGCACCCCACGCTTTTTTACTAATAATTTTAAATATAAATTTAAATTTTTTTTTAATAAAATCATTTTTTCTTACACTATTTTTAATTCAAATTTATTAAATTTTCTTTTCTATTTTTTAGTTGGATTTTCTATAAAGGCGTATTTTGTTAGTTTTTTAAACTATTATTTATTTTATGATAATATGATGATGATTAATCAAAACGTATATACTGTATTCCTTTCTCGTTTCTTTCAAATCTTTAGTATACAAATTTATTTTTAAGAATGATAATTACAGTCTTAAAAGTCCTACCGGCAATCGAACAGGGACCCCCGTGTGCAATTGTCAGTTTGTCAGGTTTTCGAACCGTTATATCCATAAAGCGCTCAAATACAGACTCCATTGTTTCAGCCATAAAATTATTTCAGATGTATCTCTTAGATGACATAGTTACTTGAAATATTACAGTATTTACTCAATATTTAACCAAGTTCGCACAATTCTATCATATTCACGTTTAGTGCTTAAATTTTAATGTTTTTTTTCTTCTTGAACAATTTTTATTCGCGTATCGCTCATTTGATTGAGTTGCAAGTTTATATAGTTCTTGTTTGCATTACAGGGAGATATTTATATGGTATGGAGTAGTACCACCAAGATAGCAAATGAGAAATCAATAAAGGACCTGTTTTTATTATTAAAGACATGGGGTCGAACTTTGAGTTGTATTTTAAGGTAACTAACTATATAATCCAGAATGTTTCCGTCAGCGAATGCTTAAGATCCATTCACCCTTTTAACTTAAATTCTAAATTTTCTTATTTGTTGTAATTATAAAATCATTTTTTTTTCCCTAGCAATTCGTTGAAAGCCTAAGATTATTCCAGGCTATTCCGGCTACGCGCGGACGGGTCGGTGAGCTCACGGACTCAATCTGAAGGAATTTGCTTACCCTAGCCCTAGCAAGAGCAGTGCTTCGCCGAATCTACCATCGGATCGGAATCGCGACCCACTAAGAAGTTCCGACGAGAAACTCAATGCACTCGTAAGTTCGTCGTAATCGACGAGCTCGACGAGGACCGTGACCAGTGCTTGAAGAGCCTAAAAGCACTGAGAGTGGATCCAGGGTATCCGATAAGACATATTTCGGACGACGTCGGCTTTGTGTTGCCCAGACGCGCGGGTCGGATAGGTCAAATCCTCCATCCGGGCTTATTAAAGCGTACTATATTTCAAACTTATAACTTCTGGCAGGAGAGACGCACATAATACACTTAAGCCACGAGTGCGGTGTAAACTTCAGATTAACTAAAGCAATTACTTGTTGACTTTTAATTTTACATCTCACAACATAAATTTAAATAAAATGAATATACTTGTAGTAAAAACTCCTCTGTTTTCGACGTTAAACGAGATTAGTTAGATTTATAATGCCAGCGTATCGTAATTTACGTCGCACGAAATGTTTCTGAGGACAGAGAATCTTTAATAAGGCGCCACAAGGCAACCGTCTTGTATTAGTTGTAACGCGTTACTTTAAATGAAATTGTTTCAGTAGGAGGCGACGTTTGAGATTAGTTAAACTGTGAGAAAAACTCAATTAATTTCTTGTGGCTTTAAGTCAAAGACTTGCTAAGATATTTCAGAGCGCCTTTGTTAACATCTATACATTTTATATGTTACGTTCACATCGAAAGTGGTTTTATTTCGGTGGAATGGTAAATAAAATGTTATAAATATATCCGAGGTAATGTTTAAAAGATACACTTATTCATAAAAAAAACCATCACGAATGACCTACGTACGATTCAGTACGAGCATCAACATGAACAAATAATTCAGAACAACATTAACATAAACTTATATCTGAAAAGAGTAGGTATCAGTTGAAGAACATTCGGATATTATCTATAACGTCGAAACAAAATCAAACGATATAAACACTAATTTCAAAATAAGTAATTTTAAAATAAAATAACACAACCCTAAATTTAAATTCAAAGTAATCAGTGTCATAGCATGTCTATTGTTGTGTAAATTAAAAATAACTTCGGATCTACTTGAATGTAAACTCTAATTATAGGTACTTACGTTTTTATTTAAAACAAAACATTCATATTTTAATTGGTTTTGAACACAGCGAGAATAATTTACTACAGCTGTATGTATTGCCGCAGATTAAAAGTCCTAAGTAAATAAACAAAAAATGAGAAATGCATATTAAGTGTTGGTAGCACATATTATGAAACCGCATGAATACCAACATAACGTTCATTACAGCCGCGAAGCGGTAATTCATTCCGTTTTGAAGGGTAGGGCGGGCGTTGCATCTTAATATATATAAATCACGTGTCACGTTGTTTGTCCGCGATGGACTCCTAAACTACTTAACCGATTTTAAATTAAATTTGCACACCGTGTGCAGTTTGATCCAACTTGAAAGATAGGATGGTTTTTATTTCGATTAATGTTTGCAATATTTGTTAATTAACAATAAAATGAATTAATTTTCTTATGTTGATTTTTGTTATTAATTGTAAGTTTCATAAGTCTAAAACAAATGGCGCCTTAAATCAGTTTTTACAGACAATTGTAATACTGTCTGACATTAATATCTAATAGATGGCGCTGTGTTAAAAATACCAAAATTTCACATAAGCTACAATTGAATGGCATAAACACTACGTGTTGTTGAGGCTAAAGTATAAGTGAAATTAATTTCGTAGTAAGCGCAATACAGTGAAATCCAATTGTTCTTACTTTGTCAATTTTTGGTATTAGCATAGCCGGCCGCGTGTTATTTAGAAACAAAAACCTTAGCCACAGCAACGTGTGGCCGGGTTTGCTAGTTATAATATAGAACTGAGACTAAGTGATTTCTATGGGCTCCGGTAACCACTGAACAACACGAGAACGGAGCATGTTCACGCGTCTAAGCAATAATAAAAAGAGCAGTTTCATACTTACGGCTCTGCGCAATGCCGGCGGTCAGTGACATATCGTGAGTTATAATTTGACCCCACTGCTGGGCGTTAAGGTTCCATATTGGATCGATCAACTGCCGATCGGGGAAGAGCCGGAGACTTATGTCACGAGGATTCGGCAGAGGATTTCCTGAACGTGATATTGGCCACGCGCTTACACCTGGGGAAATAAATATTTATTATGGAGAAGCCATATAAAGCTAAGAATATTAAATCAACACCACAAGGAACTTAAATGTGAATTCGTTAAAAAATCTTAATTTTATTTATTTATTCAACATGTTTATTATTATTATTCTGACATAGGCCAGTTTAGTTCGAGGATATTCTACATTCATATTTTATAGTAAAATATGAATGTAGCGAAATGTAGTATGGCGAAACTCGCCTACATTTGTATTTCTTACTTCTCCCACGAAAATTTGATATACATAACTGCAGGGTTACACCATAAGGGATCGAGTGGAATGATTGATTGATGTATAATATATATGTATCAGCAATACATATTGGTTCACATTAGGGTCGCATTGAATATTGTATATCTATTTGGATATAGATAATGCCGTACTCAATCTTTGTAGGTACATTTTCCGACTACGCTGTTTTTGTGAGTAATCATGAAATTGTTCGCGACCATAAAACTTCGGCCACTTTCTACTTACCGTTCGTAAGGCATTGATTACTTCTTGAGACTTTTTTTGTTTTTGACTAATTTGACTCATTATGAATAGAATAGTTATTATTACTTTCTCTCTATTATTTTCTCTTAATTACGGACGGACTCACGTATCGCCTGACAGTTAAATACCAGAAGCCACAGATATCAAAACTTTAGTTTCTAGTCGAAGTCTCAATTGTATGGTATAACTTTGTTCCAAACTTTGGAATGCGGCATACGGGCGTGCTTATATAATAGGTCCTACTTATGAAGTTGCCGTTTTACAAGGCTGACCATTAAAAAATTACCACTGCGCTGGCAGAGACGCATCGATACCACAGGCGCATGCTTTGATTGATAGAAATAATAAAAAATGTTCATAAAAAAAATGACTTTCATTTTCTGTATACTAAACGACAATTTCGTAAAAACGGCAATTTTGGAAAAATACCTAAGATAAGTGTGTCTTTAGGCAACGAAAAAACAGTTAGGGGCAACATCCCCAAAGTTTGGTAACACTTTTTTTTGTTTATTAAGTAATCATTGGCTTGAATCCAAATAAATTGTGGTGCCAATAATTATTGTTGAACGCCGATCATTAAGCGAGCCCAGCTACCATTATTTACGTAAATGTGCTAATTCAGTATCATAAAGGGAAATAGATTATTCCAAAAATAACTTCAAGCAGGAGTTTGATCTCGGTTTTTAGCTATAGCTCAATTTATGCAAACAGATTACAGTCATTTATGCGCATGACAATACATAAATTATGTGTGCGGTGTGTTTGTTGAGGAAGTCAATATTAATGTACAATGCTCTCCGTGTTCAATACAATAACGCGTTTAGGGTGCTGGTGGTGCTGCCCCGCTTTTGTAGCGCATCAGGGATGTTTGCAGACGCGCACATAGATTGTTTTTACGCTACCATGCGTAAGAGGTGTGCATCTCTGGTAAACAGAGTGAGGGCCAGCTCCAACAGTGTCCTGAGCATGATCGCAAGCAGGCTGGAATGTATATACATGGGTCGCTGTGGTGCCATCTCCCATGGGATATTACCACAGTAATTCATTGTGATGTAAATATAACTACTAACATAGGTCTAAGTCTTATTAACAATTTATATGAGTCATGGATACTTGAAATAAAAACATTATTATTATTATTATTTATTTATATTTATTTAAAATCTTATTAATTACATAATATTTTTTAAAAAATATATTAAAAATACAATTTTTAAAAAACACTATATAAAAATAGATTGCCGCTGATGGCGGTGTCTACGACACAAGCCACCAGTGGTTAGGACTCCAGAGTGAGAAACCTCCTCACAATGCGTGCAGTATCCAGGATAACTGCTTTTTGTATTAGGCCCTTAACCCAGTTGGATAACGAAAGTTTCTTAAGATGTTGATCGAAACTTTTCGCTATCAAGCCGTGTACCGATACAACTATTGGAACAATGATGGTTGAATCAACATGCCACATGGCGGTAGTCTCGTGGGCCAGGTCTAAATATTTTATTAATTTGTCCTTTTCTGCCTTCACGAGGTTCTCGTCATGAGGAATGGTGACATCAACCAACACTNACAGTTTGTATCCATTCCCCTTCAGAGTGACCAATGGGTATCGACCAAATATTTTTCCAAAATGTTGACATGTCCTCTTCATTGACATTGTATGGCTCATTGGTCACTTGGGATTGAGACGACTCCCAGTTTCTGTATACACTTCTTTGATCTCTTTGGAAAACTCTATTCAAATGGTATCGCTCAGATCTTAGACGATACCGACTAATACGGCTTGCCCAAGCATAAACTTTTTGCTTCCAGAAGTCTATGCGCTCAATAATACAGGTCATGTATTCGTTTGAGCTTATTCCAGTTCCGGCAAAAGCCTGATCGACGAAACACATAACCCGTGGACGAGTATTTCCTTTCTGGAAGCACATAAGCTTTATATATATATTATTATTATTATTATTAATATTACAGTGAAGAACAAATTAAAGAGAACATAATAATTGTAATTGTATATGTATATAGTCTGATATATTTTGTATTAGTGTTTTTATTTAATACTAGCTGACCCGGCAGACTTCGTATTGCCTTAATCGATAAATAAAAAACACAAACAAAAGGAATCCGTCCGACGGGGGGAAATCAAAGGGAAAACAAAATTGTAATTTCTATTTAATTCCTGGCATTTTCATATTTATCTACCTTTTAAACCTTCTCTGGACTTCCACAAATAATTCAAGACCGAAATTAGCCAAATCGGTTCAGCCGTTCTCGAGTTTTAGCGAGACTAACGAACAGCAATTCATTTTTATATATAGAGGTTGTTACTATTATTGTTATTGTTTACTGTATCGATAAGTAAATTGATTAGATTGTACTCTTCTACCCAATTATATAAAGCTCACCCTCTTTAAGAACGGTTAGCTGGTAGATAACTCAATTGTTGAGTTAGGCTCGCCGCGCCATTTTTATAACTTTTCGCAATCATTATATTGTAGGTATTAACTGTACGTACAATAAAGAATGACGAAATAATATAGAAATGTTGAAATTGAATTGAAGTTTGTATTCCTTGTGGTAAGCAGAAGATATTTTTCAGTATGTGTACATTCCTTAGGAGCAAGCACTATGTTACCTAAGGACTACCGGTACTAAAATTAATGTCACAACGGGAACTTCTTTGTAATAGTTTGCTCGTAAAATAAAAACTTTTGTTCAAAATAGATAGGATTTCGATGTTTATAACCATATCATTACCTAAGCACGAATTGAATATCTTGCCTTTTCTTTTGAGGTCAGGAGATAACACAAAAAATCAATTATTTTAGTTTTACAGTAATTAATGTGTCAATAAGTGTTCAATGGTACGAGTGTTTTCTCAAAATAAATCGCTAAATAAATTAATAAGCAAAATGTTTTGTGAACTCCTTTGATTTTGTCGAATAATATGTATAATGTCGTATTGTACACAGACTCTAATATTTAATAAATTGTCGGAATGCTGGTTATGAAAAAAGCACTTATATTTCTGTCAAGTACATCTTTTGGAATCAAATCAACTCAAATCAAATTAAAAAAAATATTATTCAACATAATTGAAAGTACATATTTGTTGAACGTCAAAAGAACTACCGCCTATTCACAAAAACTAGCCTCCGTCCTGAGAAGAATTGGCAAGAAACTCAGCGGGCATGTCTTTTTTTTTTAAATATTAAATAATTGTTTTTAAATATTACATTTTTTTTTAAATATTCATTTTTACAATGAGCATTATAACGCAACAATTATTACAATATTGAAATTCCCGGAGCGAGCAACTCATTCCCACTTTGTGCAATCTTCTAGATGATCATTGACTTTATAGTAAGCTTTATTGCACAGATTTTCTTTAATAGTTTTCTTAAACCTATGTATATGTAGGTTCTGAACATCTTGTGAGATTTTTTTGTACAGGCGCACATCTTCTAGTAATCGCAACATCGAATTTAAAGATATTTTGAATGATGTCCTTAAACTTACCATCACCATAATTGTAAGGGACCAATCGGCCGTATGGCGTTTGTGGCATTCCCCATACAGGTCTTAGCAAATTATTGCAAGACCCATCAATGGATCTGTATTTCGATTTGGAGCAAAAAGGCGGCGAGAGTCCACAGGTCTGGGTCGCAGGATCCTCTCCTGACCCAAGCGGTGGTGGTGGATTGCTGAAACTGTAACAGTAATCTTTTAAAAATTGCACTTTCATGCTAATTAGGGTAAAGTTTTTTTTTAACTATTATATAAAAAATTAAATAGAAAATCAAACTAAATTTGAGTTATATGTTACGAGAACCATAAAGAAGTATTAGATTGATATTCAAGAATTTAATTAAGATATTAAACGCAGAGCCTTAAAAATCTAAGTATGTTACATTATCCTTAACATTAACTGTACGATCTGTTGTGAATGTAATTTTTTATTTTTCATTTTCGTCGTCACCCTGGAGTACTAATTTCAAAATATTAGTAAAATAATAGATGCCATACAAATAACCTTTTGATTTGAAGTGTTGGAACTTTGACAGGATCTTGGAAGCTGAGAACAGAATAATTATCGTGCTCTTAGAAAACAAACATTGTGCAAAATGTTAACACAATCTATGGACAGTGAAATACGTTAGTCAACAAATTACTACACTAGTAGCGTTTTAGGTATAATGTTCTTCCATACAACACTATCTCGAAATTCTTTTACAAATTACTATAATATTTAAGGGACGAACAAAGAAAAATATGTACGTGCACACAATAAAATTGCATTAATAGTATTCTAAATGAGCATAACAGTTCACATGTTTCTCTGAGGGATGTGGGCGAAGTCTTCATTTTGTTCATTAAGGGTTATCTCACACTTTAACTAGGAACGCAGATTTGCTTCTCGGAAAAGCGGCTGCTACCAAAGTTGCTACGCTGATGGTATCTACCAGTGAGATCTACGCCCTCCCTTCCACCACATTACTTAAAGAGTAACATTCAAAAGCATGTAGGTACACTACGAAACGAAATTATAATTTTTACATATAAAACTGTTAAGCAAACAACTAAAATTCATGCTCTCACACCAGTCACAATTTACCATCACACAATCACCATCACAATTTACACATCAATAAAATTGTGATAAAAAAATAATAACTCACCCATAGCCGAAAACTGGAAGTCTATCGGCGGGTTGATTGACAGAAGCCACCTTTACAAACCTCGCCCCTGCGCCTGAGATACGAATAGGCGTCTGAGCGGGATTCGAATGCTGGATAAATATCTGCCGCGGATTCCTTACAGTTATATGCACACACTGCATAACGCCGGTCAGCGCCAGCGTGAGCCAAACAGCAGACGTGGCCATGGTTTCTGAAAATAATTTATTACTTGTATTGTTCGTATTTATAGCTCGATCTGTGTGAACAAATTGTGGAGCGACGCGACCCCTTAGGGACTCCTTTTAGAAGAAAAATAGCGGTGGTCGTTTCTGGGTGCTGCAATTTTTTTTTATGTTTTTTATTTATTTATTGCTTAGATGGTTGGACGAGCTCACAGGCCACCTGGTGTTAGGTGGTTACTGGAGCCCATAGACATCAACAACGTAAATGCGCCACCCACCTTGAGATATGATCTAAGGCCTCAGTATAGTTACATGTTATATGTGTAATTTATCACTCATTCATTCATTTTTTCACGGTAAAATAAAAGTTGTAAACAGTTACAGTTGATGGCCGGTAGTTATTTGGAACGCAAATGAAATATATGTACTAAAGTTTTATATGAAAATAGTGAACTCCTCCGGACGTAGCTCCCTACTGGGCGTAGCTGAAATAGCCTCTTAGGCTACCAGCGAATAGTTAGGGGAAAAAAATAATATTGAAGTACGCTCATCTATGAGTATTGCTAATTGTATCAAAAACATTGATTTCTTGAAACATTCGCGAACCATCTGTCCTTCGTTGACGATAGTACAACAGTAAGCTTTGCCTAGAATGAAATAAACAACTGCATGTCATTTTGACTTAAATAAATTTTGCGTACATGTCAAGGACCGATGACAAAACAATAATTTTATTACTTTGACCCTTATTTGATTTGATCCCGATTCATCCCGCGCTTATTCAGCGAGATGAAAAAATGATATTTCAATTTTTAATTCGGTAATTGTTTAAACTGTTTATTTGTTACTACCTGTACTACCCTCAATACTGTACAACCACTATTTACGCTGATAAAATGTTTTGCGAGTCTGTAATTGATTATACGTTTTTATCACTTTCTCGTGAAATCATTGGTGAACATAAGTTAGGTATAACACGCATTTGACAAGGGATAGAATAGCCGTGATTCCTATCTAATGGAAACCTAGTTCTCATCAGGGTGAGCAGTGGCATTCTGTTTGTAATATCTAATACAGGCATAAACATATAGACAATAATTTAACTCCTTTTCAATTTTCCATTAATCTTAAAAAGATTAGAACAAAAGTTTTTGAATATTTATTAAAATTTCCGGTACGTCACTACTTTAGTGTCTCTTCTACATTGTCCCACATTTTATATTACGACACGACGTTTAACTAGTAGAGAATGTTTTTTTGCAGAAGACTGTTTTGTGCAAGAAGGATTAAATAAATAAATAAACAAAATTCCATGTTCATTTTACTTTCGAAGTGTCTGTGATTTCCTGTTTGTTGCCGTCTTATGAATTTACGTCGACAGGAAAGCAATAAATGAACGGTTATGGCTACAACGCCTTATGGGTTACACCAAATATTTATCTTCCGGGATATAAATGAATAAACTTACTACATTCGTTTTTTTTATGGTCACACTGTTATAAAAGGCGATTGCATGCAACAGAGATGCGAATGTTGCAATGGGTGTGTGGAGTAACGATAATGGATAGAATACGGAATGAATATGTTAGAGGAAGTCTGAAAGTGGCACCTGTGACAGAGAAGCTGAGAAGTGCGCGTTTGGGATGGTATGGACATGTGATGAGATGAAATGAAAATGATGTTGGTAAGAGAATGTTAACTATGAATGTGGAAGGATATAGAGGAAGAGGTAGACTTAAGAAGAAATGGGTGGATTGCGTGAAAGACGATTTGGGTAAGAGAGGAGTGACCGAAGAAACGGTATATGATAGAAGAGTATGGAAGGAGAAAACATGTTGCGCCGACCCCAAGTAACTGGGAGAAGGGCAGGATAATTATGACCGTTACAAAAGACAAGTGATAAAGATAAAAGTCGAAATACAGACGTCAAAAGACAATAAGATACGAAACGCACAGACACAGCCCACTGAGTTTCTCGCCGGATCTTCTCAGTGGATCGCAATTCCGATGCGGTGGTATATTCTGCGAAACACCGCTCATGCTTAGGATCAGTGTTAGCAACATTCCGGTTTGAGCCCCGTGAGCTTACCTACACACGTTAGGGCGAAGCTGAAATAGCCTCTAAAGGCTATCATCATCAGCATGGGTAAGAAATTTACCTACCCGTCTGGACGTGGCTAGAGTAGCTCCCTAGACTACTACCAAGTAGGTAGGCAAAATAAAAGAAAAAAAATACGAAACGTTTTACTCTTTAAATAATGTTGGCGGCGCTTCTTTACTGAAAAATCCTTTGATAGATCAGCTCACATTTTAAATCAGAACAATCATTAATTAAAGAGAACTAGCAAGATTAAGAGAAATACAAAAAAAAGGGTTCTAATTTCTTTAACAAACGTTCAATCTATTTCGACCATTGAACCCAACTTCGCTTAATGGTCGAAATTCATACATAATTACTGAAGCCTCAACACTTAGATTTCTTTAATTTATTACAATATTCCTTTTGTTTTATTATTTACATTTTTATTTGAAGCGTATGAATAAAACTGTGTCCAGTTATTAATTTTTGAGAACCCTTAAGCACGTAAATGGCCATTAAACAAACAAAAAGTAAATCCATTGGTAGAGAAGAAATAGGTAGTTAGCTGTTGATATACAATAGATACTTTAATGTGAACTATAATTAGCACTCCATTTTAAGTGGTTATGTAACTAAAATATTTTCCTTTCCTACGAAAGCACTAATGTACAAACGTTACTCGATCATACTTTATATAACCGTGGTCATTAAAGTAATTTGGCACATCGTAAAATTACCGCTCAATCATTATGTCTTCATTACATGAAAGCGATGTTTCAAATTTATATTCCATGCATGAATGCATGATAAACTTATACAACATATGTACGTGTTATTAAGTATGACTGCACGAATAATTATGTTTTCAATCCAGTGAGGAAAATATTTACCTCGTTTATTAGGACGGCATTATTTAGTAGTCGAACCGGCAATAAGATGGCTCCAGCACTCATGGTCAATTGTCAAATGCTCGCTGAGGTAATATACAAAGCCACCCAAGGTAGCGCCTATGCATCAAGTTTCGGCTATTCTCTCGGAGGACACAATAATGGGGTGGTGGTATAAATCGCTCTCTGCAGTCCAACCAAAAGGAAACAAAACCCATCACAGCAGGGTATGCTGTCACTGGTGCATCATATAACCTGGTGTAACCAGGTGATACGAAATGCTAAACGCCGCTACTTTCTACATAATATATCGTCTTCTTCAGTTGCTAATATCTGGAAGTTCCTCGGAACTCTAGGTATTGGCAAACAACGTCAATACAGCTTTCAGTCGGCAATTGGACTGGATGATATCAATGCGCACTTTACTACAAGTATCCCGTTGGATTACCAGTCTACGCGCCGTACTNCTATTTTCTTGTACTATATATGTATGTATGTGTGGTTCTATTTCTTTGTTATATTTTTGTTTAAGTGTGTATATGAATATGTATGTGAATATGTGAGTATATGATAGAGATTATATATAGATATATGTGTAAATTTTATATTATTATCATGATATAGAATTGTGTACGTTGTTTGTGTGATTATATATATATATATATATATATATATACCGTGTATGTGTTTGTATATTGTATAATGTAGTTTGGTTGTTTCACATTAAATTATGCACCTACCACAGGATTCTCTACACCACCCTTGGTTGACTGGTAGAGAATGCCTCAGGCATTAAGTCCGCCATTGTACTTATGTGCATTAAGTTGAATAAATAAATAAATAAATATATCGGGGAACCAAACCTATCATCACCCATTTTGTGCCAAGAGACACACAGTATCAGTATGGGTTGCGTATTTGAGCTTCCTCACTGGTTTAATTGAATTCCTTGCTGCAAGAAAACCGTATCTGACTGAAACAACGTCTTGGCAATAATACTGACACATTGAAATTTCATGTCAAAAAGAGTCCTTGGGTAAACTGTTCTTCTTTCAAAGTCTGACTTTAAGGAAAACCAAATACACAGCTATAAATCCGAATAGGCCTCTCACGCTAAATAACAATGAAAAGTGAACCGGTCAAATGGGTTTCAAACAAAAATCACTAGTTTATTTCCGGTCCAGAGTTCAACGAGAATTAGAAAAACCGCGCCAAAATGTCCTACGGAAATTGAAATTTGGGAAAAAGGTAGTAAATATACGTGTTTTCAAATGGCTCAACGGACCGGATGGGAGTTCGAGCCTCGGGGAGTCAATGGCAATATCATAAAGGAGACGAGTTTTATGGACCTTTTAACCTTCATAAATTGTTTGCGCTACCAACGTCTTTCGAGAAGATTTCTTAACTTTTCACAAATAGCAATAAAGGAAAGTTATTAATGAAGCAGCCTAATCCTCAGCAGTTAGTTGGCCATCAAATTAAACTTGACCAAATACTTTAAATGACGTAACGCTACTTCATTGTAATTTTATGTGGTGTAATGTACTGTTTAAAAACAGTGCTATCTGTATAGATAATTGTTTTTATAATTGTCCTTTCACAGGTAGACTAAAAAAAAAAAAGACTACTAGACCTCCTAGACTAAAATGTGTTTTTTTTATTCAAAGTTGTCTTCATATTTAGCTTAGACAAAATCATCTGATATTGCTAAAGTAAGTCAGCGATAGTGATTACTCAACACCAAGTAGTATTCAGTATGTCTAGAAGATCAATTAAAATATTCCCAAGCTCTTGGACATGCTTAATCTACTTAGGCCGTTACGACCAGACTGTTAGCAAACTACTTTTTTCCTTCCACCTTTTAAAGCCACGGACGAATAAAGTCCATTCCCTCGCTTCGATTTCCACGTTCGTTATTCGCAACACAATAGCCATGTAAGTCATTTGTTTGTAGATAAACTTTTGTTCTACACTAATGGATACTTGTTAATTTTTTACGGGGTGCTAAAATTGCTACCGTAAGTAAAACGGTGCCCTAGTAAAAAAATCCAAGAATTTTTAA